AACATCCCAGTGAGTTCCTGTGCCCTGGGCTTGGAGCTGGGCCAGAAGGTGGCTCCACAGCCAACTTAGTGTATTTTAAAACTTGAATAAAATGCTAAAAAAAACCCAAGAATTTTAAGCTAGAAGAATGTGGGGCTTAAAACATTCATGAACTAGTGAAGATCTTTTACCTTGATAATTTTAAAGAGAAGTACTGGAGAGATTTGTCTTTTGCCCAGCAAGAAAAAAGTGAAGAAAAAGTATCTGCAGCCTCTATGTTCCCTGTTTATGATCTACCCCTTCCTGTTCTTCCTGAGGTTTTGTGTTCATTTAATTCTATTTTTCCTCACAAAAATAAACCTCCAGTACGTATTTTAATTTATTCTCAGTCTGCTGTAATTAAGTTGCAGATAAACACATGGTTGCCATATGACAAAGTGATATTGAAAGGAAATGAGACACGGAATTTTGTGTACTCGGGCCTTGGTTATGCTGGGTTGGCTCTTCTGTAGACCTACAGCCTAGATCCAATTAGGAAAATACAAAAATTATGGAAAATTATTGGTCACATTGTGAGCATAGTGACAAACTGAATCATGTAGACTCATGGCTGAGTCACACACAAAAAATAATAATGTTATGGAAATATGGAAGGAGGAAAATAAGTGAAAATAGAGCCAAAAAAGAGAAGCTGTAATCAAGGGAAGAGAAAAGGAAAGAAAGAACAAAGCAGAGAGATTGCACTGGCAATGAGTAAAGGCCACTGGATTTGGGGCTCTGGTGGTCAGTGGCTTCAGGTACTTGTGCGGAACATTGACTGATCTGCAAGAGGAAGCTGCAAGATGGAATCTTAGCAAAGGCATCAGTCACAGATCTGGGCTGATAAAAAGGCCTGGTCTGAAACCAGGTGGGCACAGAGCACTTTTTATCCAAGTAACCAAGCAGCTGTGCCTGTGCTACAGGAGGGAGCCAGACGTGTCCTGAGCGTGGGAGAGATTCTGGTAAATGTTTGCAAGGATTTGCCCTGTCCAGGGTGACATTCAAACTGTTATTTATAAAATCCCAGGATGGCTGGGGTTGGAAGGGACCTTTAAAGATAATCTCATCCCACTATCCTGGGCTGCTCCAAGCCCATCCAGCCTGGCCTTGGGCACTTCCAGGGATCCAGGGGCAGCCACAGCTGCTCTGGGCACCTGTGCCAGGGTACCCCCACCCTCACAGGGAACAACTCCCCAATAACCCATCTATCCCTGGTTTCTGTCAGTGGGAAGATACTCCCTGTTTTCCTGTCACTATTTGCCATCGTCAGACTTTCTTATAGGCCCTCAGATCCGCTCCCAAAATTCTCCTTTCCTCTTCTAAAAAGTGAGACTTGAGTGCTGTTGTGTCACGTGCGATTTTAATTTTAAAAGCAGAGGACTGAGCATGGGGGGTGGGCTGGGACTGCCACGGGGATAAAACCACTTTATCATTTTAGAAAAAACCACTTTGTTCTCATGTTCCTCTCGTCCTTGGTTCTGCTGGCGCCGGAGGTTTGGGTGATTGGCATCACAGGGATCACCAGCAGGACTGGTTTGCTTGAGGAACTTTCCCTCATGATGGGAAGGCGGGAGCTGTATTTATTCTGAGACTTAATTACGAGTGGTGAAGCTTCATAAATCCATTCTGAAAATGCAGTGTTTCTATGGGGTGTAATTTAGGTGAAGGGTGAAAATGCATTATTATCTGTTCTTGGTTACAGTTCCTTTAGTTGCACAAAATGAGAAACTTCCACTTTCTAAATGTGCCTTTATTGCCTTAGTGAAATTCATTAAAAAAATTACTGGTGTTATATCAGTGTTGGGATTTGAGGTCTTGGTGCTCCCAACCATGTATGATTTCAGTGGATGATAACGTGGCCTTAGCTGAGCAAACCATACAGAGAAATCACCCAAATCAGAGCCCAAGTGGAGCCTCCTGGGCAGATTTAGAAATTGCTTCTCCCTATAGGAGAGCTCGTGGTACCATAACTCTTTATTTATGTCCTTCTTCCAGAACAGCAAGTTCAGAATTAGCAGTAAAAGGGACCTGTTCCAGCTGGGAGCAGTGGTGTGTTTTCTTGCTAAGTGGGACAGAAGCAAATTTATCTGCTTTTATCTGGCATCTCCCTTGCCAATTTTGCTTTGTAATTGTAGCTACAGCTCTTAAGCTGAACACATTTATAACATTTTCCTTAGCAGAGATTTCGTGTGCAGAAAATTGCAATGCAGCTTTAAACAGCTGCAGAATAATATATTGTGTTGAGAAATAGCTGCTACAAGTGTATTCCCTGGGATGGCTCCACGTGTGTGTAAAATATGTCATGGGAGCAGGGGAGAGCTGTGCATTCCATCACCACAGTCCCTTTGTGGTTTGAGACTATTCTGTTTGAGACAAAAGTTCCCATAAGATTCCCTGCTTGGACTCCTGAAGGAGCTGGAAAAACGATTTCCGTCTAGGAGTAATAATAGCTTGGACTTTTGGTTTTGATCATAAGCTGACATTTAAAAGTCATCTGAGGAAAGATATTTCTTGATTAAAGTCAGGTTTTGCTTAATGCAGTTGTAGCTGATCCTTCCCATCTGCTATCATGTCTTTGATGGGATCTCTTTCCCTTGCCTTGGGTCTGGTTTACAAGATCCCTCAGGAGTTCCTGACTTTCCCAAGAGACCTTTCAGTGGCTCAGCTCATCCTGCTACTCTGGTTTGCTTGCTCAGCTTTGCTTTTCCTCAAGGAAAAAGTTGCTCACCAGAGAAGATGAGGTGGTAATGTGGTACCCACAGAGCGTTTAGAACTGGGGATCTCTCCATGCTCATCCCTGTGCCTCATTGTTCAGTCACCTGCCACAGGTGGGATTCAGAACCTGTATTTTCTGTGTGGAATATTAGAGGCAGATTGTGTGACTGCATTTCCCAGAGTTCATTCCTGGAATTGTCAGTGTTTAAGGCTGCTGCTTGATCCTGGGTGTGGTAGTTTTGCTTCCTGCTCCCACTGGGCATTGGTGGAAGGTGGGAATGGTAGCCAGGATCCTCGCACGGATCTGGGCCGGGGCTGCCTCAAGCTGCTGCCAGGACTCGGGTTATAGCAAACAGGGATGTAGGTATTTGTGGTTTTGTGTGTTTTGTGGATAGCTAAAATATGACCTTTCCCGCTGCAAAGCTGGATCTTATCCCAAATCCTGTGAATTTCGCACAGGATTGGCTTCTCACAGCGTTCAGGTGGGTTGCCAGAGCCCCGGCACTGAGGGAAGGCACAGAACGGCCCTCGCTGTGTGCAGAACTCCCCGGGGCTCTCTCTCCCAGGTACAGGGAAGCTTTTCCACAGAAAATCATACCCTGGATTTCCTTGAGTTGCCTCTGGCTTCCATAGGACATAAATACCCCACACACAGGATATTTACAGGGGGGAATGTGTCCGTCACGGCAGCTGCAGAGGAACTCCTGAGACAGCCCTGGGAGCATTTCAGTTTTGGCAATTGTAACTCTTACCTGGTTCCTCTGATGTTTTCTCTGGTGGATTCCAAATGTCTGGGTATGGGCAGATGCAGTGTGACTCAGTGTTTAGCTATGGGATACTCAGATCCCTTGTAAATGAGGGATGCCCCAGCTGAGTTCCAGATAGAAGCTAATCCTGCATTCCCGGTATCTACAGCCTGGAGCTGAAGGCTCGTTCAGTCCTCCCTGGCCTCTGACACCAGGCAAGGAGAGGCTCATAATGGAAATCAGGCATGGGTTATTGAGGAGGAATGCCTGGAAAACTTGTTTTGTTATCAGAGGGGCATAATTCCACAGGGAGTAAAGCTGGAAGAGGATCCCTGCTCTGCCGGATGAGTGACCTTTGATCAGCCACACTTCTAACACTGTAACTGCCCTGCTCAGTGTCCTCCCTTCTGTGTCTGTGTTCCCAGGATAGATCATGGTTGTTATCCTCACAGTAAATACAGTGCTGGATACTGGGTAGAAATTAAAATGAGCAAATTCCATGTGTTTTATGTCATTTGGCATCCTGCACAGCCCCCCTTCAGTTTGTCAGAAATTCCTAAACCAGAGCAAGGTCACATCTGGTAGCAATTTTGCTCTGCCAGATGAGGCGTAATCCCATAAAACCAAACTCATTTTCTCCAGTGCTGCTCAAAGCTGAGCTCTCCTGCTCCTTTTCCATAAGACCTGCCGCTTGTACTGGGAGCTCTGTGGAATGATTCAGGCTGGGAGACTTTTCACACTTTATAAACTGCAAGGTTTGGAACACAGCTTTGTGTCCAGTACACGAGGCAGGACAAGCAGGGCACAGCCCTGGAGTCTGCGGCTCCATTCCATTTCATTTTCCAGCAGCACATCCCTGCTGGATGCTATTCCTTGGTGCTGGGTGTCTGTGCATCCCCTCATCCTCTGGGTAACCTGGCACCTGCAGGATCCACACAGAGCCATGAGTTCTTTCACATGCTTTTAAAATAGCTCTAAAGTTCTGGGGCTTTCACAAGGCACATCGATCACAGCAGATTGACTAACAAAGTAATGGAGCAACCATCAACCTTTGCACATTGTAGTAACTGAAAATAATTCCCAGAAACATGGAATTTTAATATGAGCCAGTATTTTTATGTTTGATCATGTTGCTGTTGTTCCATATTTTGCTAACATTGGTTATTTTGGTGTCTCATTGCCTTAATTACTCTTTCAAAGCCTTGTGTGGAGCTTGGTGTCCATCTCAAACCAGAGCATACCAGTGACGTGTCATCACTCACAGAGGCAGGGGGGTGACAGGCTGATGTATTATAAGATGTTATTAATCCAGTTAATGAACTTGGTTAAAATAAAAATGTTTTTACAAGGTTTCCTGGGTTTTATATAAGAATCTAAAAAAAAAATAAACCAACAAGTCAGAATTTCAGAAAGTATTGTTAGTCTTAACTTAGTGCAATCTACTGTAACTGGGGAGCACTGGGTAGGAACCACCTTATCTGCTGTGGTTTTTATGAACCAATTGAACCTTTTTATTCACAGGCCAAGTATCCTGACATTGTGACCCTTCCAGAAGGACTGCTGGGAGATTTTATCATTCTCAAGAACCCCAAAATTTCTGGGTAAGCCAATAAATGCATTTCTGTATTTACACAGGTGAGGGGTTGCACAGGCCTTCCTCTGAGAGATGTTCCATCTCTCATTTGGGATTTTCAGCAGGGGAAAAAAAAAATCCTTACAGTTAAATGGAAGATGGTGTTACTGTCACTGTCAAAAATTCTGTAAGGGGCATGAAAAATAACTATTTTGTGATGGGATCAAACTGTTCCCTTCTCCTGTTAGACTTTGCTTTGACATGCTTTAATTTATATGGAAATAAGACACAGCTCCCTTCATTATGTCTGTGTGTAGAACTAGCAAACAGACTAACAGATGATGCTGTTTCATTCAGCCAGACTTGCCCTATAAAACTAAATGCTTTATCTTAGGGATGCAGGAATGAATTGTCCTTTGGCTATCCCAGATAGGGAAGAACTTGCTTTATTTTACAGTTTCTCCTCTGGTGCCAAGTCCATTACCCTCATTCCCTCTCCACCACAGTCATGAAACACTGGAATATAAAAGTGATTTCAGTGGCTTGGTAGAAAACAGCCTGCCATAGAAATTTGTTTGCAAAATGCCAGAACAAGCTGTGCACAAATTCACAAAGGATTTGTAAAAATGAAGTGGCAAAAGGCTGATAAATCACATTGGAAAGAAGCTCTTAGAGTCATGATGGGTTGAACACCACTGAGAAAGGGGCCTTGCTCCTCACACTGCAGACCAGCTCTGGATTAGGAAAGCCTTACCTCCAGCAAGGGACTTGAGGGTTGGAGGGAACAAAGGGAGCTGTAAAGCAGCAGCTCTGCTGTGGATGTTGTTCTGGACTCTGCTCCTGCCTCACTGTTCCCTGGGGATGGTGCAGTGATCTCATCCCACTGAAAGCTGTGACTGGCCTTGCACAACCACCAACACTATTCCTGAAGAAGTAATGACAGGAATATCATTATTAGAATAAAGTAGGCTTTATTTCCCTTTTTAAATTAAAAGCAAAGGAATGTAGGCCTTGGACAGATGTCTACCTGCCATCAGTCTAAAAAGGCCCTGAGTAGCAGGGCAGCCCTTATGCCAAGCCCAGCACATCACCATTCATGCAAAAACTTCTGAAACAAGTTTCCTGTTCTCAGCACCTGATCCTGAGAGTAGGTATTACATGAGGGATAGAACCAGGGGACACTCAGTGCTCTCCTTTGCTTTCCTCTCACTTTTACTGCACTGTGCAAATCTGGATGGAGCCAGAACCCTTCCTTGTCTTTGGACTGATGTGTTCCTGAATCCTGAGATGGTTCATTGCATTACATGAGGTGAATGTTGTTGCAGAGTACAAGGTTGAGCCTCATGCCTGCTGCACTTTCTGCTTTGAAGGAAAGCTCAAAGACAGCACCTGGTTAACCTGAACTGCCTTTCCTGTGCACCTTGTACAGGTTTGAATTGGTGATTGTCTGGAAGATCCATCTGGATAAAGAAGGGACCACGACACCTGTCCTGGATCTCCTGCCCAAGGCACCAAAGCAAGGTAACATCAGTCACTTCAGGGACTGTTCCTGAGCTGCCAGGCCCTGGTTTTGGCAAATCTTTTTCCCAATTCAGCAGCAGCTATACTTCACCTCCTGTGTAATCTCCAAGGGCTCACAAACCCTGCAGCTATCCTGCTTTTACCCACCTGCTGTCAGCACTGCTGCAACTCTTGGAAAATAACCTGCACTGCTCTGTTTCTCCTGCAGTCCTGGAGCAGAGGATGAGTGTGGAGAGCATCCCTGGCAGGTTCCGGAGCGCGCTTCGGCTCTTCGGGATTGAGGCAGCCATCGAGAACCTGATCAAAGTGGTGGGCTCAGAAAAATGAATGCCAGCATTACTTACACACCAGGCAGCAATTTCAAAAGTAGTTTTAATTAAGATATTGTGTTACACAGTCTATAATTTTATTGAATATAAACATTAAGTTATTTTCCATTTAGAAACCATACTCATAAAACATGCTATCTGTACAATTATGGCACGTTATATATAAATTGTCATGACATGAAAATAAATACAGCCATTTAAATACAAAAATGCCAAATAAAATAGTTACATGTACAGAGTGATTTCATTATAAATTTATCTTTCTGAATCATCAATGTACCAGAGTGGTTTATCTTCTTAACATTTTCTAGATACCTGGAAATTGTTAAAAGATCATGCACTGTCAAAATCAAGTCCATAAAAATCCATTTCATTTCACAGCTCTGTTAAAGTACAGTGATTTTAAAATGACAAGAGAACAGTAAGAGACTCCTAGAACAAAGAGTTAAATAGTTTACTCATTAAATTAGGGTGGAAGAAGACAATTTGAAGATTTCAAAGACATAACAATGCTAAAAAACCCAAAGGTAACTGTATGAAGTAACTTTGTTCCACAAGGTGAGTGTTGAAACAGCGTTAATCTAACCCAGAGAGGCCCATGACACCCCTGGGAACAGGTGAGTCACCTCCTGCCCACTGCAGCACCTCCTTTGCATTTCTGACTTCCATGAGGAAATTATGGTAACACATTAGCCAAGCATCACCTTTCACACATTCATCCCTGAAGACACAAAACAAATCAGACCAATGGCTTGCCTCTCCCTTCCTTTCTATCAGATGTGCCATGAGCCCATCTGAGAACTCTGTGTTTCCAGGAGCTCCTGCTCTGCACTAGCACTGCACCCCAACCCAAGCCATGTGACTGGAACTTTTCAGGTGGGGAGTAACAGTTCCTGGAACCAAGAGCCCAAACCCACAGCTCTGGGATCTCATGTGATAAGAGGCCAGAGGAGCTGGAGCCCCCGGCAACACAACTGCCCACTCCATGCAGCACTGGGAAAAAAGGTGGAGAAATCTGAACTAAAGCAACACTATGTTTCTAATCCCATAAATGTAATAATCCAGTGTTTGATCACTGAAATGGTCTCTCACTGTTACGGTAGATTAGGAAAAACTGACAGACCAGAGCCTGGTTTCTGCCAGACTCAACAGCTGAGCAACACCAGAGATTGGGTTTTGATCAATGCAACTCTCTTGTTAGATAAGGCAGGCTCATTTTAAGTTTGGGATCCAGTACACAGGCAAAATTCATTCCTTCTTCTCCACTGACATGGAACTGGTTGGGCTGGTTTTGTGTAACCTTTAGTTCAGTTCATCTTTAGCTCCCTCCTCCTTGCCTGAAAACAAAACTGTTTGCTCAGCACAGACACTGCTGTTTGCATATGAAATATGTGTAAAGTTACAGCATAAAAACCTGGAAACTTCCCAGCTGTGCAGGGTCCTTCCTTCCTCCTCTTTCTAATAGCTGGAGGGTTTCTGGATTTAGAAGTAGCTCTCTCCCTCCAGGTTTTCTTTGGGAAGAAGGGGTTATTCCTGCTGCCAGCTCATTGCACTTTTGTAGTCTCAAATCTCAGGCCCTGCCCCAAAGGGCTCCTGGCACTGGATGCCAACACTGCCAGCTCAGGTCTCTGGCACAGGGGTAGTGGTGGCTCTGTGTTTCACATTTCTTCCTTGAATTGTGCCAAGGTACAGGGGATCATATGTTTGAATTTCAGATAAAGTGGAACAATTCAAAGGTTACACTGAGGTCCCAATATAAATCTGTTTTTAGGAGTTAAGATACATGACCCTGACCACCATTACTGGTAAACACAGGCTGTATCCAGGTAAGAGCTGTTCACTGGGGCTGGAGGAGCATCTCTGCACCATTCAGGGGGTGTTATCCTTGAGGGAAAAGGAGCTGCAGATTTTCTCACTGTACCCTCAGGCTTGGCCATACCCTTCAGTTCCAGCTCAGGATTTTCCCCAAGGATGGCTTTACTGCAGCACCTCCCCAGCCTTCAGCTGCACAGAGCACTGCTCATATGTAGCACTGACACAAGCTCACCCTGGCAACAAGAGTGACCCACTGCAGGAAAGAAAATGGGATTCTGTCACCTGTGCCATTTAAAGCAGAAGAGACTGCTCACGCTAAGCAGTGTGAGGCATCAGTGTAAGAGTGCCAGTGTTTGACACTATCTGAAAGACCTGAAATGATCTGTAAAACTCAGAACATATTCTTATAGCTCAATCTAAATTAGGCAAGAGTGAGCTGTGGTTTCACCTCCAATAGCAGCATATAAGATACAGAAACAATAAAAACCAGCATGGCAGGTGAGTTAAGCACAACTATTATGTAAAACTCAAGGTTGTTTACCTTAACCTTTGCACTTCGTTTCAGAAGCTTTAGGTAGAGACAAGGTGATCACACAACTTCTGGAGGCAGCCTGGTGTTCCTAGTCCATGCATTAGTACTTAAATGTTCTGCAGTGCCAGGGCAGTTCCACAGATCAGCCACTGCATGGTTGTATTTTCAGTGGATTAATGCTAAAGTGTTGTATAGGTTTTGCCAGAGCACTCCCTCCTTTAGTAGGGATGAGGGAGACTCAAAGCACAGGCTCCAAGGCAATTCTCTTGTTAGTAATTAGGCTTTCTAAGTTAGTGCAATATTTCAGGAAACCTTTAAATTCTGTGCTCTTTCAATTCTAAGGAAGCAGACTTTGTATTAATTTGATCTGTCCTCTAGTTCCAAGGTATGGCACATTACCTGTTCTGTCACATTAAATACATTCATTAAGGTTATCTAGCAAACGTGTGGCTTACTGCTATCCCAGGTCTCTGAGAAGGCATTACCCATTAGAAATCATTTCATAAAGCAAAAACATTCACAGCTGAAAAATGCACTGAACACAATATAAAAGAAAAAAGAATCACCATAACTGTATTCCAATAATCTTTCACCTTCTCATCTGTTTGAATAAAAATAACCTTAAGGGAATGGTTACACTTTATGGAGAACTAATGTGCAGTCTTCATTCTCCTTGAAGAGGTTGGACATAACTGGGTCCTCTTTGGCCTGTACATTCTTCAGGTAATAGTTGACTATTTCACCATCAAGTTTGTACTGGTGGGGGATGCCTTCATAGGGCTTCAGGTCCAGGTCCAGCACAGAAACAGAGAAGGTGAATCTGGATTTGGATGTCAGTACCACAGGTCTTTGCTCAGAGCTGGAAAATAAAACCACATTGCACATCTGAGTCATTGAAACCAGTATTTTTAATTTATGTGTCCCTTTACAGAAGTGACTCTAATGTTTATCTTAGAACTTTTGTGGGAGCCCAAGAAAATAAACTGCAGCTAATGTAGCTCTTGGGAAACTATAGCTCCAGCTTTACCAGTCCTGATGGGACCTTGCTGGCACCTCTTCCTTACATTTTCCTTTCAGCTTCCACACAGCTGAAGTCAAACATTACTCCCACTTACTGCATTTAGTAAATCTAAGCTGTTTCTAGGTGGTGCTTACACCACCTAGCCTTATTAACCAGCAACAGCAGCAAAGGGACTGCAACTCCTACTTAGTTTCAAGGTAATAAACACTCAGTATTGCTGTCCAGGTATGCTAAGGGATGGAGGAGTTTGAAGCCAGCCATTGCACAAGTGATGTCCATCACTAACACTTCACTGGAGAACTGCAGGACAAATGCAGCAAACAGCATTCTCTAAAAATAAAAGGGCTCTGGTGAAGCAAAGCCCCCTGCAGAAGAACAGATTAGCACTGCTGACACAAGCCAAAAGGGATAATATTGTGGCAGAGCCTCCTGCCTGACAGCCAAAGCTGTCACCTCTTGATTATTGCCTTGGTTTTATTCTAACTAGGCCATTAAAAGCAACTCAGTTTGAAAATCTCTCCTATGAGAACACCAAGGCAGAAAAATTGTTCCTAGTAAAAACCCTCCAAAGTTACTATGAGCACTCAATTCCAAGTTTAAGAAGGGAATAAATATAAAATGTTGATCCTTATGATCAACTTAAAACTCTTCAGAAAGAGACATTGGTCATAAATATCTTAAATCAGAACTATACTAAAATGCTCACAGCACTTTAACACACACCCCACCCCCCCATCCCACGCTTTTTTTAATTGAATTGCCTGAACAGTACAAACATCCCAATTTCCAAACAATTTGAGCCATTGCAAAACAAGTACAGGCAGCCCTTACCATTCATCTTGCAGGCAGGGGGAAAGGGCAATCATGATGGAGCAGTCTTTAGCAGTCATTGCTATTCTGTACTGCTGCACCTATACAATAGAAAATAACATATGTTTTCTCTTAGTTTGGTGTTTACCTGAGTAAAGCTTCCTGTTCCTTACAAAAAGCAGCACTGCAGTCCCTGTATTGGTATGCTGGCACTTTAAGAGCTGGAAATTCTCTCTGTAACAGAAGGTTGGCAGGAACAGGTGCTTTTGCATCCTGTATAAGAATCATGTTTATTTCCTACAGATCACATTCCTAAAGGCCAAACAGCACCAGTTCCTGCAAATGCTTCATCAGTCTAGAAAGCAAATAAGCAGTTTTATTTTTCTCTCAGGAACTGATGCTAGAAGCTTGTTTTTAACTGTTTCTGCTATAAAGACACACCCTGACACAATGAAGAACTTGAACTGCGCAGAACCCAACAAGCCAGCAGTGTCATCCATCCATTATCCAGCCCTTTCAGTGAGACAGAGGTTAATTAACACTGACAGACCAAACAACCTCAAGAAGTTGAAGTACCTTTGTTAATGCAAATGCCACTGTCCCGTCATCTTCCAGGGAAAGGTCCAGCAGCTTCTCATAAAACGCTTCATTGTAAGGTCCATCTATCTGTAATGTACTTCTAAATAAATGTTAAAAGAAGATTTACAAGACAGCCAAAATATGTTCTGGTTTTCAGTGTGATCTTTCCTCAGCAGCCCAGACACTCTGATTAGAACCCAACAACTCTGATAAATGTATTAACCCACTGCCAACCAACATTAAAACAGTGCCTGTTAGATCACTCAAGATTTGCGAGCTTAGGATCTAGTTGTGTGGGGTTTTATAAACATGAATCATTCTTAATCCACTGCCATCTCTGTATCACTGCAAAGTTGTGGGTTTTTTGCCAAAAAATGGGTTTCAAAATTTGTAGCTGTTTAAAAGAGCTCCAGAAGCCTTACTGAAATACATATATAAGAAATATATAATAATATATTGATATCTTTTTTATATGTACATTATACTATTTTGTATATAAGAAGTATAATCTGGGGGTGAAGGCATATCTGACAGGGCTCCATTTGCTAATGGAGAGTGTCCTGGGCTCCTTCCTTCCCCCTCTGAACAGCTGTGCCCCTGCTGAGAAGCTGAACCCTCCCAGGGGTGTTGGTCCCACACAAATCCCCCACAGATCAAAGAACACATTTTCCAGTGCTTTGTTTCCTGTGTAACTGCACAAGCAGCAGCAGCTCCTGAGTGAAGCCAGAGTGCCCTCATGTGAGCACAGGAGAGGAACAGCACACCAGTAAAGGCTGCTTGGAACAATTATTATTACACCAATAAGCCTTATTTGAGGAAAAAAACACAGCAGCTTGCATTCATCACTGCATTATTATCCCTGTAGACATTCCCAGCTCTGCAGGTACTGGGGACAGGAGAAACCACCCATTTCTCTGTACCTTTCTGCAAATACACAACCAACAGTAGTAAGACAGTGTTTTCCTCTCTTAGCCTAATGTGAACTTTCCATAGTCATTACTTAAAAATTCAGGCCAAAGTGACCAGCATCAGCTGGAGTTCAGTTAGAAATTTGGAATATGCAGTGCCATGAAGGAAGGTTGTACAACATAACAGAGTGCATTCACACCTCCCTGCAGTCCTGGTTCCTCAGGACTGGAAAGAAAAGCCATCAAATCTTACCTCTCCTCAGGAAATTCCTCCAAGTACTGTTCAACTCTACTGTACAAAGGATAGAGTCCTTCAATATCCAGCATGTCAAGCATCTGAGCCTGAAGGGTTTTATAAAGGAGACAACCCCTCGGTAAACCAGAGCTTTCCAATTTATGTTTACCTAGAAGAAAATGCATTTTAAAATAAGGCAGACACAAGTCTTAGCTTCAATTTGCCATTACATGTGCTTGTTTAAAAGTCAAAATACTTTTTGTCCAGTCACAGGTAGGGGGAAACCTCAAAACACTTCAGTTTCCAAACAGAAGTGCAAGGTGCAGGTAACTGACCTACACATTTAAACAGCTCTTCTTGTTCTGCAGAATAAACACCTGGTATTTAACTCTACAGTCTACCTAAAAAAAAAAAAACAAACACCACAGCACACCCACATCTACTACAATCTACTCATTTTGAGTCCACAAGAAAAAAATTCTCATCTGAATTCCAAGCTACCACAAATTCACTGTGAACAATATCAACTGCTGACAGAAAGTAATTAAGCATTTAAGCTCTGGGGTCTTTTTTATACAGTATCAAGAACTGTATTTGTTACAATTTCTCACAGACAGCTCTTTCTCCAGCACTACAACAAACCATAGGCAGTGAAAAAGGTCTTCCTCAAAAGCAGAGTTAGAAATGTGCTGTTTGTGTAATTAGGATAACTGGCAGCCATCTTGAATAATTAGACCTTTACAGAACTCATGCACTGAGGAATTAACATCATTTACAGTTTTCCAGCTCTCACTTCCCATTCTTTTTCCCTCTAGTATTCAGGCCTCTCTTTACCAGAAGAGCAGCTGAAGAAAAGAACATCAGCTGTGCCCTGGTGAGGGCTGACAGGAGGAACAGAGAAAGGCAAAGTGCAGGTGGTGTAAGTGTAATCAACCAACCAAAGCAGCCCAACTTCGTCACATACAACATTAAAAATCCCCACTCCTTTGGAATAACTATGATTATTATCAGCTCAAACTGCTGTTTTCTTCCATTTTTCCTCTACCTCCTCCTGAATTTATTTTTACCCCTGTCATTAGATGCAGTGCTCTAAGTGCTCACTACAACATCACTTTATATTAACAACAATTATCTGGCAGCTACGCAGCTCACAGCTTTTTTGAAATGCCACCAGAATTCCCATTTCCATTCTCATATCAGTATTTATAACCAAGAGACAAAGATCTGAAATGTTACATCAGACAAGGCTCTGAGAAACCTGCTCTGGTGGAAATAGCAGGGGGCTGGACTAGGTGGCTTCTAAAGATCCCTTCTAACCCAAACCATTGTGGGATTCCATGAACACTAAATTATGGACAGTTTTTACAATATTATCCCTTACCATTTCTTACTAGCTCCTTATTAAAAGCACTTGCTTCACAGTAGCTTCTCCCTTGTGAAATGGGAACTGTCTTCATGTCACCTGCCCTGCAGGTGTCAGTGCTACTCAGTAGCGCCATGGTTATCACGTGGATTAATTCCTTCACAATTGTCCTTGTGCAGTGGGGGCCACTGACCAGCCCGTTGGAAGGGAAAAAGAAAGGCTTTAAGTGACGAGCAAGTTCGTTCCAGTCCGAGACACAGTCCTGGTCATCCTTACAGCCATAAATTAGTTCCCCATTCTGCAACATGGAGAAAAAGGAGTCTTTAGGCACATCAGGAAGTCAACTATTAATGCTGAGCTACTCCAAGCATCAGGTTCAATATTTTAAGCATAGAAAAGTGTTATTACCTTAACAATCTGCACACAGACACACAACATTCTCAATCTCTTACAATTTGCCCTCTTAAGTTTAACCAGAACCTACAGGTAACAACCTCCAAATGAGAACCAAAGTCACTGTTTAAATCAAATGCAACTTTCCCAACTTAATGACCTGTAAGGAATCAGAACAATACAGGTGAATGATACTTGGCACATTTTCCTATCACTTCTTTCTGAACAATGTCAGGAGTGAAAAAGCAACGTGTGAAACACCCTTTTTTACCAGCCCAGACTGGCAAAGGGAAGGTTGTGAAAGGGGACAGAAAAGGTGTGATAGCTGTACTAGTACAAAAAAAGGGCAGCTCATAGAGGTTTAAATAATTCAAATAGTTGATTTAATATTGGAAATAAACTGAAATAATCTTGTTTCCTAGAATTAATCTGTTTATCTCCAAAAATCATCAGTCTGCTTCATTTTTTTCCTACATGAATGCCATGGAATGCCACTTTTTCCTTCACCATTGAGGCCTGCTGTGCCTTGGGCCTGTGTCAGTGTCCTAACAGGAATCTAAAACAAAGTATTTGCAGCAATGTGCCAAGTTCTCCATTTTCTTATTCCTGAAGCAGCACAAAGTTTTAAAACTTTGGCCACCTCATGAGTCCTTTTCTTCCTCAGTGATTCTTTCCCACAAATCCATTCCCCAAGGAACAGTCACCAGTCCAAGGCTGCCAGAGCTTCAGGAGCATTTGGAAAATGCTCTCAGCCACAGGCTGGAGTTGTTGGGGTGTCCTGTGCAGGACCAGGAGTTGGGCTTTGACAATCCCCATGGGGCCTTTTAACTCGGGATAGTCTGAGTCTGAATTCTGAGAAATTAATCTTTCTCTGTCCTTACCTAAAACCTAACTAAGAACTTTCCCATTTCCTTTCTTGATGTGGTCCAACAGTGATGGTCTGATTAGGTAAGTTTGAAGGAAGCAAGCAAAGACTTAACTGTTTACCTTAAATATTTTCAAGTTGTTCTGTGCCTCTTGTAGTAAGCTCTTCAAAGCAAAGTGCATTCTTTGTTTATTTCTAGAGAAAACAGAATAAAACCAAGAATGTTTTATCACAGCCTTCGAATGTTCACACCTGTGAGCACATGCACTGAGCACATTACTCACACTGAGGTCATTACAAAGGCAAAGTGAACTTCAGATCTGAGTACACAACAGCTCTTGGGTACAATGCTATGCTGCAAAAGGCAGCTTTGATTGCTGAGATAGTGTAAAGGGAGAGATAGCACCAGATATAATCACTGTAAAGGTCCAGAGAAGCCAGCATTGATCATGCATAATACCTCAGTGAAAGACAAGTAATCCAAGCAAGAAATCTGTAATGCAGGTTTTTTGTTGGTTTGGGTTTTTTTTGGGGGGGAAGCAAAGAATCCTTACCCTGAGAAGAGATCCAACGGGCAATATTTACTTGGTCGTTTCCATTTTCCGTTGGCTACCTGTGGAAAACCCAGAGCACTGCTGTTACCCACAGTTGGAACAGCTGCTCTCCCATTTTAACAGCCAGGTGTGTGGCAGTGACACCCTGCCTGCAGAGGTCAGGACATTTAAACCACTTTGAACACAAAATTCATGACCACCGTGGGTGTTCCCAGTCTTTTTTAACTCGAGTCACTCCAACTGCATTCACAAGGGAGGTCACATTAAATCCCAGGGAGTCACAGTCACACCATTCCAGAGTCACGGCAAACAGAGTCCATGAACTCCGTGCCTGTTACATGCTGTTTGTTGTAAGTCACAGAATGCACTTGGTGAGCTGATCTGGGAAGGAAGTCCCACACCAGAGTTGACCCAATCATGGCATTCATAGTCCCCAAAGGCTGATATTATATTTGTTTGCTTCCAGCTTCCCACAGAACTTGTTCCATCTCTCACTAAACAAATTCACACCCTGGGACTCAGCTGTGTATCCTCCTACCAGCTTTAGTCATATCAGAGATTTGAGCAAGTTTCAACAGGAAAGCAAGCCTGGAACAGCAAATAAAGCACAGCCAAAGAAAAGCAGGGTGACTTAATAATTACCTTTAGATGCTGATGCATACAGTAACGACACACCTTGTGCTTTATCTCCTGTGAAACATGGCTGGAAAAAGGAATGAAGCCACACTTTGGCTAAAACAAACAAAAAAAGATCATAAATACAGATGGCTCTCTCTACAGAAATATAAAGGCATACAATATGTACATCTTTCCAGTTAAAGGAAAATTTTTAAAAATTATAAAAAATTCAGCACTTAAAAGTTGAATCATTTTCTATTATTTTAAAGAATAAAGACACGGAAAACAGCTGTGGCCTACAGAAAAGCCTAGTAATACCCGGGAGTTTCCCAAGTTTCAAAGACTGGGAATTGGAAGAGGGAGGGGGCTGTTTCCTCCTGTGGGTCACAGTGAAAGCAGTGAGCTCTGCCTTCCCCCACTCCAGCATTCCTTGGGAGCTGCTAGGGCCAGTGTGTAGTTTAAGAATGCAAACAACCCCCTTTTTCCCCTGAGGCTCTGCCCCCCTGCACACCTTGATCTCGATGCAGAGGATGGGCCGGTGCTCGGCAAAGCGGAAAGTCTGCAGCCGCGTCAGGTTGGGAAGGCACATCGCATAACCGCTCAGCGTGTCCATGTCCTTGTCACAGCGACACTCTGGGACAGCAGGGGACAAACAACACCAACAGGAAAATCAGCTCCAGGCTACTTGTTTGCTCTGGAGCCGTCTTGTTCACCAGGTAGGGCGTGGGAACAAGCATGGAAGGACAGGAGATGCGGTTTATCAGCTTTAGCCAATTATGCACTTGCACAAAGTTGTCCTCCCCATCATCAACGCCTGGTTTCAGTTTCCTCAAAACTGTCCCAGACACACAGAGTGTCCCAAGAGCTGATGTTAATGGCCAGCTCACAACTGACCCCAAGAAAGGTGAGGCTTGAAACAGCAAGGGAATGGATTGGCCAACAATAGGTAAAGTGACTCACTAATGTGTTTGTTCAAAGATGTGATCTCCCCTTTGCCTACTACGCATGACCTACCATCCCTCAGCTGAGTCAAAAGGATCTGAAAACCACCAGGAGCAGCATAAACCTAAGAGGCATTCTGAATAAAAACCTTTGAATAACCTCTCTCCACGTACATCCTTTGGGGCACAGGAAGGTCTGTGAGATTGTAGTTCAGAGTTAACAAGAGCACACACCTCCAGATTTTCAAGTACCTGTTACTAAACAGACACACAAAACACACGTTCCTGTTACGGTTTCCTCTAACCTCTAAGAAAAATGCCCACTCTGAAAAATATATTACCATAGAAAAAATAAATCTAAGAAACCAGAGCCTCAGGCACCAGCCTGTCATGCCATACTGCTTCACCAGGATGAGCAAGAAGCCTTCTGTCTCCAACAAAATGTTGAGGTTTGTTTTCTTTTTCTAAATTTAAGCAAAAGTACATCCTTCACACCTTCACAGCTGAAAGCCACTTGCCAAACCAGAAAGGCACAGAAATCTGAAGTATTAGAGAAGTTCCTTTGCATGTTACACAGGCTTATGTGAAGGGTAACACTAAAAAGAATCCCTGTTAAAAATGGACAGTGAGATTCACTGTTGTGAAGCACCTGGACACTTCCCCACAACCACATTTCAATCCCAACAGCTGTGGGCGCACCAAGTTTAACCTTGAGAAATAAAATAAATTCTATCATTCACTTCCACAGAGTATCACTGATTTTCTAACTTTTATTAGACACTACTAACTTTCCTCACTGGATCCTGGCACTGTGGAACTGCTTCACAAACAGGTGAGGAAAAACCAACAATGGAGCGTCCCATGCTTGCTATATGTAAATTAACTCCTTTTTTTTCCTGGATCAAAGGCATCAAAGCACTTGACTACAGTATTTTGATTTAACACTATTTATCTGCAAGGAGTTTTGCTAAAGCAGGAGTTTCTGGCCATTCTCAGGAATGAGAACGTAAGACAACACAAGGGGCAATCTCTTTGCCTATTTTACAGCTATCACTTTAAATTCAAGAACACAACCCATTTTTTCCCACAACAAATTTTCAACTTATCATTGTCTAAATATTAAAAAAAGTTTCTTTATATTCTGTAGTGTGATTTTTTTTTTTCTTACTTTAGAACAAAGCAAAGTACTTTACAGCTTGAGGAAGCCCCTTTCAAATCACATCCCTGGCCTTACTTACCTGGCCTCTCTGGCTGGATTTTCAAACACAGCTGTCTTACAAAGTCTAAAGGCAGTTGAATAATTTCCTATTGGGGAAAAAAAAAAAAAGAAAGAAAACATTTAATGCAAAAATTAATACCCAGTTTAGGAGTCTTGAAATGGAACAGCAAAGTTCAGTGGGTTACACAAAGTACACTGAAGTATGCAGTCAGCAGCTTTTCCCTCTGACTCACTGTGAACATCTGTACCTGCAATCACATGCAACACCTCGTCCTCTATAAAAACCAAGGACTGCTTTCAATAAACGTGTGACAAAGAGCATTTTCAGTGCAAATTTAATGTGTGTGAAGGAACCTGCATCATTTTGTTCTTCCCACAAATGAAAAAGTCCCATGTCTCACATTCCACCCTTCCAAGGCAGAACTGTGTAACTCAAGTTCCAGGTGAAGCTGTAACTTTTTCCACTCATCTGATGTTCAGTGAACAAGACCTGGCTGCCCTGAAGAATAGAACAAGGGAAAAGGTGACCTCTGACTGCACAGGAACCTCAACAGTTTATATGAACCAGGTTTCTCCCCTTGTTTTGCAGTTAGTCTAAAAATCTCTCACACTCATCCCCCTCTTGCCTTAGACTGAGCAAAGAAATGACCATGCTTTTTCATCAGTAGCTTGAAATAACCAAACCACTGAGTACAACCCAATCACCTCATCAGCACAGAACAGGATCCCTGTTTGCATCCAAATGCTTCATGTGTGTATCTTGCAAACCCTGTTAGTTCCTTTCACTGGCACTCAGTGTTCCCCCAAACACTTCAGTGTTACAATGTCTAAGCCATCTCTTTTAAGAACAAATCACTTACCCCATGGTGAACATAGTTCTCCCCGAAGAACTGCTTCATCACATGTTTTCCGAAGTCTACAATGTTTTGCAGATGATGGAGTATTTCCTCTGGAGTCTGGAAGACAGAAATGCAATAACTGAACTCCAAAATAATGATAGCAACACTCCAGAACACACATACATCCTGGTCAGTGATTTAACAAATAACTTAATTGCTGCACACTGACTGAAGTCAAACAGACATCACACATGAAATTTGTTTCCCTAGTGCCACCTCAGGGGCTGGGACAAGCAGAAAAATAGTCAGAAAAGATGATTCTTCTTTGGTTTCAGGGGGAAAAGGAAGAGAAAGGGACAAAGGTGGAAGAAGGGGAGATTGCTCAAGACCTACTCTGACCATTTTTCTTAAAACAGCTCAGAGAACCTCAGCAGTCCAAAGAGGCACCCAACAGCTGCAGTGCAGAAGAGGCTTGGAATGTTACAAAATACATAATGGAGACTGGGAAGAGAATGGCTAAAAAGACTGAGCCATGCTCCAAACCTCAGCATGAACAGGCACAGAACTGTCCCAAATCCTACCCCAGACATTGAAAAATCTTACTCTAATGTTATATTCTGTAATTTCATAAGGAAAGGTCTCCTACAAGACAAAATGCCAAAAGCTAGAAAGGAAGCTCCATGAGTAGTGGAAGCAGGACAGGGACAACTGCACAGTCAGACTTAGACAGACTCCTGCTTGTTGAGGAGGGAGCAAAAGAGCTTTACAGCAACCTTACCCCATTCCCAGCACACTCTGCTTCTCTGCAAGGGATTTTATTGTTACAACAGACAACCTCAAAGCTACTCTGTCTTTTTACAACACACACAAAACCCAATTAAAACCTCACAAGAAGATTAAGTGGAGGAAAAGAAAGGGTAACACTTGGGTACATACTAGCAAATCAAAGAGAAAAACAAGAGCAGGGGAGAAGAAAATAGAAACAGAGCAGAGTAAGAGGAAATAAAATACTAGGGGACAACACCCTGACACTGGCACAGCCTAGAGAAAGGAGGAAAGACCACATCTAGCACTAATCACAAAAGACAACAAAGATCCTTCTTTAACTTATACAAATCCTGAATGGTGAGAAGGAACATTACAAGGAACATTACATCATCTCATCAGTAACAGAACTCTCAGCTAATTCCCATTTACATATGGTTCTGACCTGGTTTGCTGATGTGGACAGCACCCACAGGTTTGTGTTTTGTTTGGTTGGGGTTTTTTAACATATATACACAGACTCACAGACTGAGAAATAGGCATTTCATAGAAAGTTACTGCTGTGACTTTTACTGCGTGGAAAGACTCACTGGTTAAGAAGATCAATACAACCATGAAATTATAAACCAAGCTTAAAACATCATTTAAGAAAAAGTATATTTGATGTATCTAAATTAAACAAAAAAAAACCCCACAAAACAATTAACAGGCTACTTGAACATCACTTTTTAACATCAAAAACCACTAAGATGAAAAGCTTTTGAAGGACCCTCACTACTGCCAGCTCATCCACCGAAACTCAAATAGGCTTTATCAATAACTTTTTTTAAAATTCTTTCATGAAGAAGATCATATACTAAAATAGCAACATGCAATTAATTAAAAGCACTCCATGAGGCCTGACACTTGACTTTCTATTCAAGTAATGCAAGCCCTGCAGTTACATTATTGAGTATTTTTCAATCATAACAATAAGGTTACAATTCACAATAATATCACCTTTTTCAACTACTGGATTATCTAATCCCAAATTCATAATTAAGCAGGTAATTAAAAATACAAAGCAGCATATAGACTTTTTTACCTTTCCCAAAGGAGTTAAGCAGAAGAGACTGAGACCTATTTGTTCACATGTGAATTTCAGTGTGTGTATTACTAGAAAATATTTTTCTTGAACTGCTTCCTTCAGCGTTGTTTACCTTGGATGACCTGTGATGTCAGGCACACAGAACACTTCAGAGCCTAACTCATTTTGCTTAAATCAAGAATACAGATTATTCCTAAAAAAAAAAAAAACATTTTCCCTGTCTTTGCTATGTGTAAGTTCATCCCAAAACTCTGACTCTTCGGGATTTGTTTACTGATCTGATGATAAAATATTTATTCTGCTCTGCTCCAAGAAAAAACAGCCCTTTAAAAAAATCAATCACCAGAATAAGTAAATATATTCAAATTACAAAACCTTCTATTTAGAGGGAATTGTGTCACAAAGTCCACACAGTCCCAATGCAAGGCAAATGCAGAACACTGGAGCCAGCTCTCCTCAAAATGCAACACTGGAAAGTGCATGCCCAGCCTCAGTGCTGTGGTGGGTAACTGAAAAGTCACTTCCTGCCTTTCTTTGTGACTTTCTCATACTTTGGTAATTTGTTAAAAACAATTACTATGCAATGATCTCTTTGAACTTAAAATAAAATTAAAAGGAAAAGGGGCAGGTACTCAGTGTTCTGACTGCAACAAACTGACTTTTTACATAAATTTGTGGTCTAGTCCTCTCCTGCTGTACTAGAAATTGAGATAAGCACTGTTTCCTTTATTGTGATGCACTGACTCGTCATTGTTCTCGTTAACACTAAACATTATTATCTTGGGCTACTACAGAAGAACAAGATACATTTTTGAAATCCTACCAATTTCAGCAGCTCAAAAATCAACTTGAATCATACTTTGGTTTTACCAGACCGTTTTTCAAGTTAAATAGTAGCAGAAAGACCATCAAAAAACTCATACATATACTGTGTTCGCTAATTTTGTCTTCCTCTACTTTAGCAACTTTTCCCTTGTCCCTTGTTAAGCTGAATACTTTTCACATTCATCTTCCTGATTTAAAGCAGTGAAATGCCCTTTCTAGATGTTTACATTCATCCTTGTTTCTTTTTTCCTAAAATTAAGCACACACACCAGTTCTCAGTAGAGCCCCAGTGCTTTTTGTATTTCACTCATCAGAACAACCTGACACTGCCTCACAAAACTGTGGTTCAGGAGCTGCTGTAACTCAAGCCATTCCCAGTATCTCTCAGGTAACATATCCTAAAGACTCCTCTCAAGGTTGAGGAAATGAAAGAATTTGAACCTTGTGCTCCCTCTTCTTATTCTTCTTCCTTGGAACACTGTGTTTATGTTCCACCTTTTGTTTTTGATCATTTTTTATCCCTGTTAAAAGAAATCTAAAGTAACTCACTTCAGCTCCTTCTCAAACAGGAAAACCTTATTGTATCATTGAAGAAACTGGGAGATTGTGTCCTGCCACGTTCTTTTTGTAACGGACAGGACACTAAAATCACCCACTGACAAAGGATATTCTGTGAACATTTCATGTGTTTCTTCAGATTCCATGGCTTTTTAGCTACTGAACAGGTGGTCAACAGCAGACCTTGACCATGACACCCATTCTGTGCAGTTCCTGTTCTGTCCCACCTGGCTAGAGCCAGGAAAACTCCTTTCTTCCTCAGCATCCCTGTGCTCCAATAGATGGATATGGAACATTTACACTGCCACAGCTGCCCTTACGGAAAGGCAGCCTCACACTCTGCCCCACACACAGCTCCTGGTATCAGTACTCACATCATCCCAGTTACATAAGACAACCTCAGATTTCCTCCTATTGCCAAACCCCCTGAAACACAGGCACATTTCAAAACACACATTTGTTCTTACTCCTGCCAGTCACAGCTCTTTCACAGGTTTCTTGTTTCTCCTCACACTGGCTATTAGCTTACCCAAGGGCATTCAGCAACAGGACACGTTTAAATCTTACCTTATTCTGGTTGGGGGGGGACTTGAGAAATCGAAGCACCACACAGCGCTGGAGGAAAAGAGGAAAGAATAGGCTTTCATTAGCATTTATGAACAGCACAATTGTCTGATTCCCCAATCTACCTCTCTGAGAAATTAAGGAAGAAAAAAAAAACAAAACAGAAAAGTACATTTTAGATGGTTATTTCACTCAACTTGAAATCAAATATGCCAGCTGAAATCAAACACTGCAATGTTTGCTGCCAGCTCTGCCATCAGTTTAACAAGGCGGTCACTCCAGCCACTCTGCATTTCCAGTCACCAAGTGCACCAGGGAAATGCTCCCTTAGCTTACAGCACTGCTCTGAAAATCTGGGAAAGCTCATATGGAACCAAACACACTCCACCCTGGCATTTGTGCACCAAAGCTCCCCAAAAGAGACACAAGGCCCACTCCACTTACAATATTAGCACAGAATTACCAATTATTAAGGAGACATCAGTTACCAGCAGCAGCTACACAGCTGAACTTAACACTACATTAAACCCTGCTACTTACAAACTTCTGCAGAGTAAGGAACAAATATAGCAGGTTTCCAAATATTTTACCTCAAAGCCATAGAAAAACTCACTATTTTTTGTAATTTTTACAGGTTTTATCAGTTTTTAAGTATTCAAAAAGCTTGAGACTTTACATATTAAAATCAAAGTCTGACATGGTGTTAAGAACCTGCAGCCTTAAAAGGAAACACACAGCCCTGCCTCTGGTCTGCCTAAAGTAAATCAGTAGAATCAGCCTATTCAGGTACAATGGGGATACCAACAACTGGGCACCACAGAAGGTAGAGACAAACAGCTGTTTTCCAGATATCTCTTAGCCAGTCTTTCTCCATTTGGGCCTCTCCAAGACACCAAAAAGGATTACATTCCATTTAAACCTGTACCACAGAAGTACACTCAGATTCTCTGATAAAGACAATGCAGACAAAATGTCCCAGTTGCACTTCTGGTTTATGGAATCCAAGCTTTTTCCCTTCCAAATTATTTGCCATTAAAAAACTTCACATAGCATGACAGCACCAGATCTATTCCATATTTCAGAGCTGAAAGCTGTTTCTGCACAGGCTGAGGGAGAGAACTACAGATATCTTTAATTACTAACATGGAGAGAAAGAGAAAACAAGGAAAACTAATGTCAGTGTGCTATCCAAAACACTAACAAAACTAGGTCCAGGTTGAGACGTTGCCACTGAAACCCAGACAAGACCCCTTCCAGATCTAATGTCTCACGCCACCATAAATCTCATAGTTCACACACATCTGGAAAACACTCTCACATGAAAGGATACTTTGCTGTTAATTTGATTTGTCTTGCAAGATGAGTGTCCCAACAGCAAACAAGATACTGCCAGAGTGGTAATTACAGTCAACTGGATTTGACAAAATTCCTGGTGACACTTCCTCTCTCTCTCATTACATCCTACACATAGGTAACAGCCCAGGCCTGACAAGCCTGTAGCTCTGTGTGCAGTGCATTATTCTTACAGTGTTTCAACCATTTGGATCTCCTGCTTTAATTATTCATAAGTGGATCAGTGATGGAGTGATCTGATTATCACTTCTAATCCATTCAGAAACATGATTCTGTAATCTTTCAAGGCTAGTGTAGATCTTTATCTTTTAATCAGTTCCCAGACAAGATTCCAACCAGTACTCTGGAAAACCTGATATGCTCTCATAGGAACCAGGACAGTATCTGTTCATCAGCAAGTCATTTCTGATTTGTCAAAATGACCAAAATTACATATGGAAAAAGAAGAATGTGTTGCTGGTCTAAAGATGTCAAAAGAAAGCACAGCACTGTTCAAACAAAACTTCACAGATGCACTTAAACCAGCCAGCCCACACTACATTTTAGTAAGACTATTTTAAATGACTAGAGGAAATAAAAACCCAAAACCACCAACAAACAAAAACCCACCCCAAAACCAAACCTCAAAAAACCCCCAGAAACACTTCTTTCCTACTTTGAGGCAAGTGTCCAGCTAGATCTATCCCTTTGTGCATTTAAATACCTCCACAGAACCAAGGTTAACCCATCAGATGTCACAGATGTCAACTGCTTCAGAACTATCACCACCAAAAATATTGGCCCACATTTCTCATGCTATTGCATTTCTGATTCACTTGGCGGATTCCTTACTTGGAAATATTGTGGGTGGTTGTTACCATGAGGGTTTTTGTCAGTTATCTTAAGATGCCTTCAATTTTTTTATATTTGCAGAACAGAAAATATGTGCCATACTTATCTGCATGCTCAAGAATGGCCCAAATCCCAAAGAGAACAGATCTCTGAAGAGGTTGCCACTACTCCTTAGCACTTTGAGGATCAGATCAACTAGATCCTAATGCTCCCTAAATGTCCTTCTCCACAACCAGTGGAAGGGCTTACAGAGGTGCCTAGCACCAGTTCCATCAAGGCACTGTCACCATCAGAGTATTTTGTTAGCTGGGTAACAGTCCCAGAGAGATAAAAGGATGAAAAAAGCAGGCTGTAAGCAGAAGAGGAAAAGAAAGAAACAGAGCATGGACAGAGGCAAATGTCATAAAACACATGCAACATTAAAAGGCTTCATATCTTTTGATGTCAGATAAGTTAGAAAAATAATGAATTCAAAGAAAGAATTCTCTACTTTTTTTTTTAATCCGCGAATATGTTCAGTCTCCATTTAGTGACAAAAGACTAAAAATAACCAACTCATCAGAACATCACACACGACTGTCTTACTCTCAAATAAGGAATTTAAGGACAACTCTCACATAAGAGCAAAGCAGCTTGATGGCAGATAACAATGTTCTTAGTGGCTCCAGGACCATACTAGGGCTACAACAACCATTTCCAATTGTTATGGAAAACTGAAAACAAACACTAGCAACAAGGATACCCAAACTTGCATCTCTGAAAACACATCCACAAGCGCTGGGCTGGAGATGATGTAACCAGAAGTGTTCCAGAGGAGCTCGGTCCCAAGCCACAGTCTGCAGCCTGCAGTTTACAGCCCCACCAAGAAAGGCAAACAACTTCTTTAGCACCCCATCAACGAACAATTGTTTGGGTTAGAGCAGAACAAAGTTAAGGATTGCCAATAAGGAGAGAAGGAGCAGTGGGAGGAGCTGTGAAAATACTCAAAATGGACAGCATCACAGAACCAGCGGGATGTGTACATACACACAGCTCTTGTCCTCGTGTGTCCTGGGAAAAAAACAGTGTCCCGGGCTTGGTCCCCAAAAGCTTACCTGTAAGAATTTTTCTTCTCCTGAGCAGTTACTACAGCTATTATATTAATCTTAATCAATTAAATCCAAAAAATAAAGTAATCCTTAGTAGCTCGGCCAAAATATGACTGGCATCAATCCAGGTACTTTGGATTAGGCAGTAGCATTATGAAACCAGGATAAAAGCTTACATTTGTTTCTTTTCAGCTTGGTGTTTGATATTGACCTTATTCTATGACCTCACTGTCATAGAATGCAGGCCTCCTGAACTGGAGAGTTTTTAGAAGTTAAACACAACTGGGGCAAATCTATAATCTTGATATTTCCCTTCAGGGAACAACTTCATTTGCATCACAGATTTTTTTCAGGTCTCTTGCTACATTAGTAACAAAAAACTAGATAAGAGTTGGTAGCAGTAAAAGAAATAGGAAAAATTAAAATTAGCTCAACTACTGGTAAAATTGCTTATATATACAGAAAGATGTGTGTTTTCCCTCTGCTCACACACACGTTTAAAATAAGTTTCAGTACAAAAATACAAAGAATTAGCCTGTCCAAACACAAAGCCTGGGAAACATCAGCTTCTCCTTTTCCAAATAAGCAGGTTCACGTCATTTGTTATTACTCTGTTATTATTCTAAGAAGCACACACTAACTGCTTTTGTCTGGAGGCAAAGCACTACCCTGACATCTCCTTCCACAACTGGGAAAGATTCTCATCTCGTTGATTCCCAACTTGTGATCACATGTGCAAGATCAACTGGTAGAGAACATGACTCTGAGAAGCAACTTTTTAAATCCCAAAAGGAACTCCACCCCTCTTCCCACACCCATCATCTCCCTCACTCCACACCACCTCATAAATTCTGGCATCTAAAAACTCACCAGTATTTTTGCAGGCACTATCTGCAATTTTACATGACAACATTTGCTTTAAAAGGCACACAACACAGAAACAGAGTAAGAAGACCCGTCTTTCTTTTAAAGTTGTGCATGTAAAAGTCACAAGTTTCTAACTATAAACATGGGGTGAAACACTCTCAAAGAATGGTAACAAATCTCTATAATTGCTCTGCTATTTTTTTGCAACTAATTTCACACACCACCACCAACCACTGCCAAAGGAGATGAAGATACAAAGTCAAATACATTTACAGAAAATAGTGTCCGTAAAGGCTCTGAATTTCTTTATAATTCGTTATTTAATTCACTATTTTGCTGACCCTAAAGAGCTACCAAGAACTTATCAAACACAGCTTTAAGGATGCCAGACCTACCACTGTGATTATTCAGTTCTACCTAATCATTGTGGGTTTACAACAACCTACAGCAATGACACCTACAGAAAGTACATTCTAATTCTCAGTCCAAGGGAGGGAGACAAACTGAACACAGTGATATGCAAATACTGAATACTAACAGTTCCAAGGATACTCAACATGAACTATGGAATTGTTTAGCTGATACTAAGATATTCCTGCAGTAGCACACCATAGCTGCATACACTATTTATCAACTGAAAAAAATATTCTGACTTTTTTATTCCAAATCTACATCCCACGGCCCCTTCAATTCTAATTCTAGTTTGAGGGATTTGAACAGAAAACAATAGTTTTCTATTCAGAAAACGCAATTTCTGGGAAGGAGAAAAATGGACAAAGAAGTGTTATCTTCACATCTCAGAAAAGAATAAGAGGGAGAGTTCCTTCTTCAGAGAAATTACAGAACTCAGTGAAAACATGCCCACCACACTGCCCAGGCACTTCAGCCAAAGCTTATCTTCACAATACTCAACACAAGTCATTTTTAAAGGTCTCATCCAGGGTCAGTGTGCTGTGCAATGTGAATGGTTATGAGAGATGGAAACAAACCAAATGCTGGAAAAATTTGCAGCTTTTGAATGAAAGACACTGGTAATATCATACACAACTGTTTTCCAACTCAGTTTTGTTCTACACAAAGTGGATAAGATCACACAAAACAAAGTGAGGAAAGCTACATTTCCTGCCAGTATGGAGGAAGTTTAGCAATTGCTCGCATATAGCGCAAAGAAGCATTCAGAAATCGGAACAATACTCTCTTATTTAGCACAGGAGTCCTTGAAGAACAATGGTTTTATTTCTTAACATGAATAAAGGATTTATGGCGTGGCATCTGGCTTGATACCATTCAATATGGCAAACCATTATTTGAAAGCAAACCCCCCATGACACTTGTTTTCTTTAGCACAGACCTCACAGCTTGCACCAGACTTCAGGTGCTCATTCCAACTCTTTCCTTTTTTCTGCTTGGTTATGATCTCGATTCCCGTGAGAGTCAAGCACTACCTCAGGTTTCACTTTATAGCTAAGCTTCTATAACCTTGCAATACACAGATGGTACCAATTCCAAGAGATTTTAATGATTGCACTCTGCAAGAGTGAGAAGGAAATGTCTGCCCTTCAGCCAAATCAGTGTACCTGAAATGATATCAGGTGATACACCCACTGGTACGAGGTGGAAACACATACCAGAGAGAGAACAAGATGAATAAACCCATTGATGCCTGGCCCTCAGTGTGCATTAGCACTGTCTGGGTAGCACAGCACATGAGCCCTGATGTCCTCACCATGAAACACAACCATGAAAAATGGTCCTTAATATTTAAAAACATATCACATACCTCATCCATCTGTCAAACAGGTGAGTTGTACCAATCAGAACATAAAAACATGTCCTAAGCTTCCTCCCTTTAAGCTGCCCTAAAGCCCCCTCTTATCAGCAACACCCACTTCCCAGCACTTAGCTGCCAAGTCATCTGATGTTATGGTGTTCCAGGAAATTATTAATGGGAGGGAGGAAATAAAGACTCAAAACAGTAAGAGGGATTAGAATGAAGTTAAATAATTAAATGGACAGTTGGAACAAGTGAATAATTCTCAGCATCCAGAACAACTCAGCCAGAAGGCACCTAAGCAAGCCTTGTGCTCATGCAGAATCCAGTGACTCTGTTGCTTCCCAAGTAAAAGCAGGTCAGGGAGGACAGACAGTTCAAGGAGGTCAGAACAGCTCCTTGACACTTTATTCCATGTCACAGAGAAATCCTGTGACTGAGGCAAAAGGAACAGCCACTGAAAAGCTGAGAGAGGGGAAGAACCAAGAGTGAACAAAGTAGGCTCTTGAACAGAGCACTCCTACACAGCTTAGGGTCAGCCAGGCTGCTTTAGCCAAAGCAGCCAACCCACGGCTGCTGTCAGCTGAGGGCAGATACAGGAGCAGCACAGAAAAGGCACACAAACTATCACTGCATGACAAGCACTTGTAACAGACACAAAAGAAATATTTTTAAAATAACAACTTGATCTCAACTGCAAAAGGAACTCATTCAAGTCTGAACTAGCATTGAACCCAACCAGAAAAAAAAAAAAAAACCAGGATCATTTTTAATCAAGGCTAATGATCTCCTGTGCTTGACTGCAAAACTGGGATTTGTTTCACCTTTTCACTGGATATAGCCTTCAGCATTCTCAAAAGTCACACAAAAAAAGGGAAAAACAGACTCAAAGTAGAGGTTGAATTTCCAAAGAAGGTCACCAAAAGCCAAATCAGCTCCAACACTCATTATTAGCAAAAGATAACACCTCTGAAACAAGTATTCTGCAGGGAGGAGAGAGGTGCTGCTGCAGTTAAATGATCACTGTCATATGGAATTAGTGTTAGACCACAGAGCTTCTGTCTCCCATCTCTATCCACACACATCCTGTGTTTTCCCATCTGCATCTACAAAACTTAAGGTGCTCCTATAAGAAAAGTTTTAATTGCTGCCTTTCTGCTGTCTCTCCTCTCTACACTGAGCCCGGCTACCCAGTGCCACCTTCCCTTTCACTTCACGCAAGACACTGAACTGCTCTGCATTCAGAGCCTCCCTTCAGTGCAGAAACCTGGTAAACACAAGAAAATTTTAAGTTTAACTACAGGTACAATATGGAATTGAAATCCTGATACAGAATTAAAATTCCTTGATGTTGACTCAACCTAATAACATGGGGGAAGTGTGTGTCAATAAAAAGCTTCACAGCTAATTGACAGAACTGGAAGTACTTCCAGTAATTTTTAATTCTTTGTTTACAGTAAAAGCTTTGCAGATTGTACTCAAGTAATGGTATCAACAGTAAAAGCTGTACCTGTTTAGCCAAAGAACTAAATACAAGCAATTACAAAACTGTCTTTTTTTCATCCACTGACCATAGATGTGTATCTAAGTATCAATTAGCCAAGGTCAGTGCAAGGAATTATACAGTTTAATTATAAAGGTGTCACAAAGGTTCCCAAATTCCAGCTCAAACTGGTGATTGCTCTCTCTTCCTAAGAACTTCATTGCTGTTCATAGCAAGAAAGGCATCTTCTTTCTTTCTTATTCACTGATGACACACCCTGATCACATACTTGGCTTTTTCAACTGGTTTTCATAGCTGCTTCAGTCAAGTAAATAAATTTTTTAAAAAACAAAAGCAATGACGACTAAGAAAGAAGAACTATTACCTTTACTCATCAAGCTGTCTTCCTGTCCTTTTGTCTAAGTAAGCAAAAAGTGTGCAGGTGTGGGGGTTTGGTTAAACAATATTTAGAGTCAGACACTGCTGAGATATGCACACACCCAAAAAAACAAAGCTGGAGAAGCCAGGTCAAAGAAATGCCCTATGAAATTTAAAAAAAAACACCACACACACACACCAAAACCAAACCAACAAAAACCACCCAAACAGAAGAGGCAGAAAACTCTCCAAAACCAGACACAGAACTCCTCCCCACACTACATGATTCCCAAATCCATCAGACATAAAGATCAGCACAGGTTTGGAATGTAAATAGAATTGCATCAAGGAGACAAAAATGTTTAAGTTCAAGTCTTACCAAAACTATGCCTTTCCATTAGTCAAAATAAAATTCAACAAATAAAATGTTGCATTTTACCTTTTCTAGTAATATCTTTCTGTGAAAGAACCAAGAGACCACAATGTGGCCATATCTAAATCAGAGCAATATTCAGAAAAGGCCATTAATAATAAACTACTGTATTTATAACCACAAGTACAGCTTGTGATTCTTTAATACAGGAATCAGCAGCCTGTTCTATATTTCTATGAAATTAAGACATTCATAGATATTAATGAAAAAAAAATAATCAGAACACAACTGAACAGAAAACAGAACACAAATGAAAAAAAAAAAAACAACTTGCTTTTTAATCAGGGACCTTGAATTTCTCAGGAACAATTTGGAATTTTGCGGGATGTCAATACTTACACGAACTTCAATAGCACAAAAGAGATTCAGGCAACTCCACACAGGAAAACAACAGAAGAAACAGGCCACACAAGTTTTGGGACTTGTACAAAATGACATCATCAGAAAAAGCACCTTAAGAAGATTCTCTCAACAAGACAGCAATTAATGATCAGCATCATCACTTTCTGCCAAATAAGACCAGAGGAAAGCTGCAGATAACTAAGTCATTCCTACCAGAAGCTTTCTACTTTCAACAACACCTTTCTGTCCAAACGTATAATCCTGTGCTCTCCTCAAGTAAGTTTATTACAACAGAACTGAACTTGTCATTATTCTTATAAACAAAACAACCAACCAGCCACAGGAAAGCTATTTCATAATGCAAAGGCACTATTAGGAACAATTATCTATCCTGACTGACACAAAGCCCCTTCTCATAGAGTTATTTCAAAATCCCAAACCAAACCCCTTTCCCCCCTATGCAGAAAGTGACTTCCTGCACGTGCTTTGCAGCCACCATAATGCAGGTGCCAGCAGAAGCAGCTACAGACACAGTGAAAACAGAGACTGCTGCTAAAACACAAGATACCCCTCTCTTCCTGTACCTCTGCTCACTACAGTCCCCTGTGCAGTCAGCACAAGGATTGGGAAGGATGCTTCTAAAGCAGCACTGGGACAGCCTCCATCTTTACCACAGGTCTTGAAGGGAAAATAAATAGCACGGAGAGAAACATTATTTGTTTACTACAGGAACCAATTTTGAGAATCTTCTGCAAGCTTGATTACCTGGCTTGACTCCCTCATCCATACGATGCTTCACTTACCTTCTCCATCTCTTCTCCTTTCCCTTTTCCTACTTGTAAGCTCACAGATGCTCTGGAGATGGTTTATGCATTTACTAATTAAGTCCTGTACCAAAGCCCAAAGATACCCGCTGGAGCTGCAAACATTCCAATACATGAAATAGATGAACATTAACAATCCAGGCATCTGAAGCCATAAACCACAGCCTTTTGCAAGCATATGCCAAGGTTGTTCTAGACCATCTGACTGAATAAAAATCAAGCTGGGGATAAAAAAATTCCCATTTTCCACTTCTCCATACTCACCCTGAAACACAAGTTTAACGTTCAAATGTATTTCAAAATTAGGCTTTTGGTTACCACAATATCCCAAAACACAAGACGTAAAACAGAGGCCAGGGGGAATGGACATACTTCATGTCATAAAACAACTACTGCGGACTACAAGCACAGGTTTCAACAGCAGAAGGAAATCCAAGTTATTATTCCTAGAGTTGCTTACACTACTTCCTACAAACATCTACTAAAGCCTTTTGAAATGAAGTGTTAAGCGTCCCATAAGAGCAAACAACTGATTAAAGTGCAGAACTCCAAAGGAGGATTTCCAGCTCACTACTGAAAAGTTAAGGCTCTGTGCTGCAGAAAGACACAACAGCTTACCAGGAGATAACTGTTCTGCAGCAGTTCCTTTGAAACCTCTCTACTGCTCATGAGAAGGGAGGAGGAGGGAAAGCAATGATTAGCTCTCTTTTTAAATCTTAAGCCAAATTTGAAGCAGAAGGAGCAACTCTCCATTGAAAATTCCGGGAAAAAGAAGCTTTCTAAACCACCCAGGTGGCTGTGATGGTGCTTGGTTGGGGGTTTCTCGAGCTGTAGCTATCCTGCAGCACAAGTATCTCACTAACACCTCAGAGTTACCAGCTGTATTTCACACTAGAATCATGAGGTAGGAAAACTGTCTGATCATTCTAACACTTCAGCAGACTGCAAGACTCCACAAAGGCCTTTCGACCACAATTCAGTTTCAATTTGGACTAATTCATTCACAGCTTCAATAAAAACCAAAAAGAAAAACCTGATCACCAGAGAAATTTGTGCCATAGTTCTGTACATCTTCTGGAACTTTAGATTCTCCAGAACTGAAACTTTAAAAATTCATTAAAGCAGAAGCTTGAGTGCTCATCAAGCAAGCAAGCACAGAGCTCTGGTGATAACAATGGGAACTGGAAATGCTCGGCAGACATTCCATCTTTATTCATCAGATCACTGTCTAAATGCTGCCAAACTAATTAAAGTAACTCTATAAAACTACCACTGTAAGAAGAGATGTGTTGAGTAGCCCATGCTGTGCCTCAGGATCCTTATCCTGCACTGGAGGGATAAGGAACAGCGATGCACTTGCAGTGATTTGAGCACACGGCAAGACTCCTGTCACTGCTGCATCCTGCAGGATTAACAACCAGCAAGAGGAAAAAGCACAGCAAGCACTGACAGCACTTTCATGGAGACAACAGAGCACTTTCCATAGGATGCCAGCATCCCACTGCCATTGTCTGGACGCACTGGAAAAGCGGCTGCGTGTCGCCTGCGTCCAGGGCTTATCAGCTCACTGCCAGCAGAGCTGTTTGTTGGGCATGTGACTTTTCCATGACCAACTTTTTAATTTGGTACTGTACTGGGTTAACAATGCGTTACATTCATGTCTTAAAGGGCAACCTGGGAATGGAGCAACCCCAGGAAATAAGCAGAGCCTTAAACACAGGAGAGCTCCTTGTGATGACATGGGCCTTACAGCTCCTACTGTCCATCCCTGACCCAGCCACAGCCCTCACAGGCAGGAACAGGAGTGTCCAGCCAGGCTGCCCACCCCAGCCCACACACCCTGTGTGCTGGAGACATGACCTTGCACAGGGCTGTTATCAGTGCTCCAAGGAGTGGTGCATAGAGCAGGAGTTCAAACACAACACCCCAGACCTCATTTTGCGAGAGGCAAAGCAGCTCATGCCCTCTTCTCCAGAAGGATAGGGATTCACTTTTTTGTTGAAGTTTAAAAAACAAAACTTCTCAAATTTCCCAAAAGCAAGGAAGAAAGGCTTGGAGAGTTAGGGACCAGCTTCCTCTCCACATTTCAAAACACTACTACACATCAGAACATGGAAACAACAAGCACATGCACTGTTCTGATCTGACCTCTCACTTGTATCTGAGCATCCATTCGTGTCTCACCACCACCAAATCCCTATCCCTTCCTCTGGCACTGATACACAAAAAACATGAACTGGGAAGCTACAGAATGAAGCAAGGACAGTCAAAATGTCTTAGCTGTGCTGCTGATCCGTTCACACGAACCTGAGAATAACTTAACACCAGATCAAGGGAGCGATGATTAATGGTGCAAGGATGTCCTGTTCCTAAGAGGCACAAAGCTACAATTAACATCTAAATAGTATTTATAGGCTTCAAGTTTACCAGAATTTGTCATCAGTAGACACAAAGATCCAAAACGTAAGCTTTTAGTGCTTCAAAGTTGCCTACAAAGGAAAAATTGTATCTATTTCACTTTCACTCTATTGTAAAAGTTTTAGCATCTTGTTAAAAAGAGAACTGGCAAGATCAGCAGCTACTCTGAATCACTGGCTGACTTCCTCACTTTCCACATCTTTAAAGATAATCACAATTACATCACTAACAATCCATTATTTATCCTGATTCCCATCATCCAGTGACTGAGTAGTTTCTACACTGCCTTTTTCAAAGCTAAAATGTAACAGGAAGCAAAATCATGCATATTCTTCTTGCACCAAAAATAGCTTTTAAATAGAATTTGATATAAAGAAAAGAGGGGGGGAAAGCCAGAGCCACATAAGTGCCCCTCCTAAAGTTTGGAAACCACCACAAGATTTCTAGCATTTTCTCAGGCTTGGTATTTGCTAATATTTTACAGCCAATACTGATAATACAGAAAACAGACGTTAAAAGAATCCGGTATTTTCAGTCATTTAGACATATTTTTTAAAAAGTATTTTCAAGATTCAACTCTTATTATAGATCTTTTTCTACAAAAATCCTACATTTCATTATTCTGGTTTTGCTGAGTTCTGATCTATGAATCATCAAGAACATTCTGTGGCAAATCCATACCAGCTTTTAAACTGAAATACAAATACATCTTTAAAGTATAAAAACAGACACGGGCAGTTTTTAGAACAGGAATGAACTCCTTCAAGGGGCATGTATCCCAATACATTAAGTAAATAATGTGCATGGCAAGGGGGGCACGAATACACTGTCAGCATAAACTGATACAGAGTCTGCTTAATTGGATTCAGCTTCGTTTAATCATCACTGCTTCAAATACTGAATCTATTTTATTAGATTTTTTAAATAAAACACACTTTCATCCCCCCGTGGCCCCCCAACCCACCCCCCCAAAAAAAACCCAAAAAAACCCAGACAAACAAAAAGGAAAAAAATAATCAACAAAACAATAAACCAGACCAACAGGTAGATGGGAGAATGGGGATTAAGTGGCCGCCGGGGTCACATCACACCAGTTCTGTGGCAAAGGCAAAAACCTAAATCAGAGTCGGGAGCTCGGCCCAGCACTGCAGCGAGTGCTCAAACTCCTCACAGAGCCAGAGTCGGTGACAAAGGGAAAAACACGCCTTCACCAGCTCGCCTTCTCCTGTCACATCACCCACACCCGGGAATGATGATGGAAAAGGTTAATTTTTAGCACTTTTCCTCACAGCTCCCATCTCCAGGCGGCAGCTGCCCGGCCATCGGTTGCTCTCCCTCCCATCACTACTGGCCGTGACAGAGGACCCAGCGAAACGGCCGCTCGTCTTCCCCACGGGACGGGCCCGATCTCTCCGGGATAGAAAACTCCTCCGGGAAAGAAAGCAGCGAGGGCGGGCGGCGGGGCCGAG